AATAGCCCCAAAAATACCGAATTCCAAAAACCCCGAAGTAGTCCCAAAGATCCCGATATATTCGCGAGAACCCCGAAAATGTCGACGTTGTCCCAAAAATACCAAAATAGTCCCAAAATCCCGACGTAGTCCTAAAAATTCCTAATTGGTCCTAAAAATACCGAAGTAGTTCCGAAGATCCCGATTTAGTAGCGAGGACCCCGAAAATCTCGAAGTGGCTCGAAAAAGCGGGAATAGTCCCGAAATGGTTCAAATATACCATAATAGTCCCAAAAATCCCAGTATATTCCCGAGAACCCCGAAAAAGTCCTAAAAGTTCCGAATTGGTCCCAGAAGTCCCTAAGATCCCGAAATATTCCCGAGAACCCCGGAAATATCGAAGTAGTCTCGAAAAACTCGAAATAGTTCATAAAATCCCCAAGAATTCTTGAAAATTCTGAAATAGTCCAAAACTCCCGAAAACCCCCGCAAGGAAGGCCCGAAGAAGTCTAGCAAAACCCGATATAGTCTCAACAATACGGAATTATTCCCAAAATCCTGAAAATTCCAAAGAAGTCTCGAAAACTTCAAAATAGTCCCAAAAATCCCAATATATACCCGTGAACCCCGAAAATATCGAAATAGTCCCCAATATTCCGAATTAGTCCCAAAAATCCCAAAGTAGTTGCGTTGCCTAAACTTTTTAAATTTTGTACTAAAATTTTTCTCAGTGTGCTGGACGACCGCCGTTCCGGTTTATAAACTTCCCGATTTCCACCAGGCACCTCTAATCATAAAGCAGGCGCCTCCCGCAAAAACTTTATTTTTTTCCACTAAATTTTTCTCTGTGTACTCGATGACCCCCGGTCCGGTTGCTAAAATTGCCAATTTCCACTAGGCGCCCATAACCGTGGGGCAGGTGGCTCCCGCAAAATTTTTTTTATTTTTCACAAACATTTTTCGCAGTGTACTCGACGACCGCCGGTACGGTTGCTAAAATTCCGGATTTCCACCAGGCGCCCATAACCATGGAGCAGGTGGCTCCCGCAAAATTTTTTTTATTTTTCACAAAAATTTTTCTCAGTGTACTCGACGACCGCCGGTACGGTTGCTAAAATTGCGAATTTCCACCAGGCGCCCATAACCGTGGAGCAGGCGGCTCCTGCAGAAATTTTTCCTGCCGGAAGCTAAAATTCATTGAATACTTTTAGGCGCCGGATGTGGAACGTGTCCGCGACCCCTTCCACGTGAATTTGACAGGAAGTATGCGCTTTTAGGTTAGAATTCAGCTATTTTCCTACAATTTGAGCAACTCCAAATATCCTCGAATTATATGAAAGAAATATGCTTTTGACAGGGTTTCAAATAATAAAATAGACACGACTAAAGACATTTTTCATAATGAAATACATAATTTATTTATTATTTATTATTTATACAGACATATCTAAAATTCTTCATTTGTTTTTATACAAACCTTTTTCTCCATTCGGCTTCTGGACCTTTTTGTGAGAAAATAACTACTTTTACAAGGAAATTATTATATCTGAGCATAAGATAATACAACAATTCATATAAATTAATGTTTTTTTAATTCCCGTGTACTTTTTATGTTAGCTGATTGCTGGAAAGTAAAGAATATTTTCAAATTTTTATTGACCCATATTTTAGCAGTTTTCAGCTCTGCCGCTCAATGTTAATAACAAGTCCAGCGTGTTATAATTATTTCTGTAAGATATATGTACCTACCTACATACATACTTATATGTATAGAAACGTATTTAGATCTGTTTGTTATGGTATGTATGTTTGTATGTACATGTATTCTCCAATCTCGTCCTACCCATCGGGCGAAACAAAAGCGCTTAAGTTGACAACCAGTTAAAATTCATTTACGACAAGTAGGTAGGAAAATCTGATTCTTTCGCCAATTCTTGTCATGTTGTGATGCGCCTTATCAGCAGCAAACATCTCCTTTTACATACATGCATGTGAAGTGCGGCTGCAAGTTCCTCTGCAAATCGCTAAAGAAGATCAGCGAAGATCGTGTGAAGATATGCGACCATTTACATGCATCCTAAGGCGAGTATTTTCCCGGAATCACAATTTTGCAATCCAGCTCGTTTATCAAACATATGTCACTTAGTTGCTGGGGGGCAAAGGCGCGCGTCCATCTTCCGTTTACCACTTGGCTGGCTGTATTTTAGCTTTTTGCCACTGTCTTGTATGCGCACATTTAGCGCACTTGATCAGTTCATTATTACTTCGTCATGGTGGTCAAGTGTCACATTAGCATATACCATATCTACATATGGCTGTATGAAGTATACATGGGTGTACATATGTATGTGCTCAGTTTCCTTTTTGCTTTACTTCCACATTTGTACGTATTTTATATGATATTTTGCATTAACAATTCGCCGCTCATCAGCTTATCGCGCCGATGATCTTGTTTCGAGCTCAAGTGTTGCAGCGCTGTTTCTGCTCAGACGAAGGTGTACTTATACCATATCCATATATGGGTGTGCGATTGTGCGTTTAAATTTATAATAACAAGTTGCATATGAGCTATGTGGCTGTGTCAAATTGCCGCCGCATTTCTGTGACAACGACAAATTGGTGGTAATTACAACGAAACAAGTTACATACATAATTTTTTATCACGATTTCGATAAACATCTTGTCGCGCTTTGGGTATGAAATTGGTCAGTGGAGCGATTGCGCTTTAAAGGCTGTAGATAAATATGATATTTTTATACATTTTTCATGCAATAAATGCGTTGCAGGGAAACGCAGATTTGTTATTTTTTTTCGTGCAGATTATATACTTCAATATGTATACATTTCATATGACATGTGATGTTAACGCCATGTATGTATGTAGATATGTAAATAGTTATATGATTAAAAAACAAAATAGATTTGAAAGGCTTTATGAGTAGAAAAATTATTTGATATACATAAGATTCATGTACATATACAGATGCGTGCAACTAATTACCAACGAAATTCAAAACGATATTGCTTGCAAATTATGTTTATTTATTTGTTTTTAATAATTTTCATTTAAAATATAATTCAATCTATATCAGAAACCACAATAACAAAAGTTGCAAAGCTTGCACAAATTGCAAAAAAATTAATCAAACTTCAAAAAATTGTCATCAAAATTTTTAATTAGACTATTTAGAAAATTTTCGGGTATGCAGTTTTGTATAACACATGATCAAAATTTTTTTTTACATGGAAAAAAATCCGCAACACCCTCGACAAAAAAAATTCTAAAAAATCAACGGTAATTTTTAGCGACTTGAAACTTCCACTTTATTATACTAAAATTGAATGGGCTACAAAACTGCATACCCCAACATTTGCTATATATTCTAATTAAAAATTTTGAAATTTTGATGACGATTTTTTTTAAGTTTGATTAATTTTTTTGCAATTTGTGCAAGCTTTGCAACTTTTGTTATTGTGGTTTCTGTTATAGATTGAATTATATTTTAAATGAAAATTATTAAAAATAAATAAATAAACATAATTTGCAAGCAATATCGTTTTGAATTTCGTTGCTAATTAGTTGCACGCATCTGTATATCACTTATTAAAGCTCTTCAAATGTATTTAATTTCTTAGCAAAAAGTCATTTAAGCTAGATATTTATAATTTTTACATATTTAATAGGTAAAAAAAAGTATGAAATGGCATTTTTAGAAGCCCAAAACTAAATTGAAGATTCCCTTGATAGACATAGCAAATAAAAAAAGACATACAAATACTCTTTAATGGTTAAATAAAATTCATTTATACGATACAAATTATAGCTTCATAATTTAGTCAGCATTTTATGCACTTTATAAACATACATATCTATATACATATGTGTATGTAGTCTGCCGCGCGAATTGGGTCTATTTTTCCTAAGTGAATCATACATTTTAGTCCATTTACTAGTTCCCACCGAAACAATTTGTTTCTTTTCAATGCGATTTTCATGAAAACTTAAATAACTTCGTCACCTCTGAGCTCATTGTCGCTTTTTGAGAATACTCGTATATTTCTGACCAAGGCACATAAATACAGGTAGAAGCCAAAATGACGTTGCTCTCATGAGAACCAAACCTTTAAACTTCAACTTGATTTTATTTTATTTCCTATATTTCGTTACGCTTAAAATGTCATGTCGTTTGTTTTTTTTGAATGTTCGTTAAAAACAAATTTTAATTAACATTTGCATTATTGTAGTGTTGTGCGGTTTATACTTAGTGTATGTGTTAAAAATGCAGCACCTGAAGCGTTGTTTTTTATGTGGTGTTAAATATAATGCAGACATCACTAATTTTTTTAACGTGCCTCAATGCCCTTGGCGTAAGGAGCGTTGGGAAAGCAGCTGTGGGGTAGAGCTGCAGCGAAATGCCTTGCTGTGCGTTAAGCATTTTAAAGCAGCAGATTTCATAAATGCACCAGGAGGTACAGGAAAGGCACGTTTGATGCCAAGTGCTCTTCCTATGACCATTATGCCGGAAAGTCCTTCCAACAACACTGCAACTCATAAATCAAGTTGTGAAAGCTTAATAAATGATCGCGCTTATTTGTGTTCCGTTGTTTTATTGATTGCCCAACGTTATGCCTAGTACATATATCGCTTTATACATACATTTGTATATTATACAAAATTAAAACAGGTACTATAAATATAAACTTTCAATGTATAAAAAAATGGAAAAGAACATACAAATTAACAAATTTTAACTAAAGAAAATAAATAAATAAATACAAAACTTCAAATTTACTTAAAAACGTCAACCAGCGAAATGTAATTTTTTTATTTTTCTTTACACATGCTCATTTTTATTTTTACTCTCCCGAAAACTTTGACTTTTGTAGGTTTGATGTCAATTTGGCTTCTACCTGTTTTTATTGTACCATGTTTCTGACTTTAAAGTTTTAATTATATTCTCATGGCCTTATTCATAAAAAATAAAGTAGGTTTAAAGAGCTTTAT